CTTTCTGGTTTATAAAGCTAAAACTTTTACAGATTATCAATATATCATTCATTAACAGATAGAAAGTATCACTGATAACAAATACTTTAAAAAATATATTTATCGAGAAAAATTAATAGAAAAAAACACCAAAGTAATTCCATACTTTTAGTGAAAGCTATCATTGCGGAAGCAATGTTTATCAATGAAGGGCAAGTTAGTGTTCTATAGCCTCTGGAAAGTTGTTTTCCCTGTTTATTTTGTCCAAATATTATAAGATTTGAAACCAAAAGAACATTGCAAATTGCGGATTTTATAGGTGTCATGCTTTCAGTAACTGCATGATATTCAGAGAACTTTCAGGTCTAACTTGCTCTTTATCAATAAACATATATTATTTCTGCAATGATGGTTTTCACTAAAAGTACATTTTTAGCAGGTGCATTTATTTAAAAATATGCAACTTTATATAGATTTTTTTCTAAAAAAAATATTTTTTTCAAGTGATACTTTCTTTTTATCTGTTAATCAATGATATATTTATAAACTGTTCAAGTTTTTTTTTATTTTATACCATGGTTTTGAGCTATTGTAAAAATAATTTTTGGACATTTATATATACCTTTGGCAAAACCTTAAGTATTTTTGTGTCTGATAATATATCTCAGAAGGCATACACTGTCAGAGTTACCGTGTTCACTGACCTTGACTATATTCTCATGTTCCACTAAATATTTACTGAGCAAAAATTCTGAATTTGCTACAGGTTACTGGTTTTGGCTAGGTGGGAATGGTGAACAGGTAAGGGAAGAAAGAGAACAAACGAAATGAACTACTGGTGGCCTATAGTTTGTTTTAGATTACCACAGATAACTTTCGTTTTGGTTTTATAGAGAAAACAGGTAAGAAATAAAATTATCATACAGTTTTATTGCTTTGTGTACCAAAATAAACAATACACCCTAAAGTATACCGTATATGTATTGAGAAAGTTAACCCACTTTACTTAAACAATTGAGTATTAATGTTATGAATGAATAAGTCTTTAATTGTGATTCTGCTCTTCCCTCGCATGTGTCATGAAAAAATTAAAATGACTGCCCCCCCCCCTCTCGGGACAACTGTATGCACAATCATGATTGTCTTTTTTTTTGGCAGAATGGCGGAAGCTAATTATGATCCGTATTGGCTGGTAGCATCAATACACATTGGCACAACTCATTCAAGCTATGCAATTGGATGTAAACATGCTCTAAACAAGGATCAGCCAGAAATTTATATTCCTAGATGGGATGATGATGACATGTACAATACGTTATCTGGAAAGACATCTACAACAGTCTTGTTAAACAAAAAGAGAGAATTTGTGGCCTTTGGTTATGAAGCAGAGAATCACTACAGAAGACTTGTTGAAAGAGAAAAGAATGAAGACTATTACTATTTCCATAGATTTAAAATGTTAATTCATGACAAGATCAGGACAACAGTGAGTATTCCGGGGAATACATTAAAGAAATTCAACTTAGTTAATCTATACTAATAAATTAATAAATTTTGCGAATAAACTTCAAAATGCCTGCACCAAAGTTAAACATTAGGCCACAAATTATATGAGTATGAAATAATTTGTCCGTAAAATATATTTAAATTCACTTATTTTATAGTAATTATCGTGAATTAAATTCACCCATATCTTACCCACTTCTGCTGCTATACGAATTGTGTTTTTTTTTTTTTTGTACAAATAATTTGATTTCTTCCCGCTATAAATATATTGTTGATTGTAAATTTTGAGTTTTCCGGGTGTTAGTTAATACAAAATTTATTTTATTACCACAAGGTAATTTCAAAATTACAATATGACACTATAATTAACAGTCAGAAGACAGTATAAGATACATGCATATAGTGCGAATTGAAGAGTCAGCAGGGAAAAAAGTCTCCATGCTTGTACAGGATTTCATCTAGTGAATTTTTCAAAATAACATTTCAGAATTTTAACATAAGTTTATAGATTTTAAATAACCATAGTATTTGAGCCATCTACGTAAACATTATACACTCAGTGGGACGTGTTTTATTGTTAGTAGCTTGCAGTTTTGACAGTGACAATAACCTCTCCCTCTCTTCGCAGACATATAATTATCATGAATTTTTCTAGAAATATATTTATTTTCATTTAAAGTAATAAATCCTCCTGCCTTTGCTAAACTTGTATTCTGGTTGGTCTTTCTGTACTCTACTCCCATTGGCCCATTTTCTTTTAAAATTTACAGGGACTAACCTTGAGTACAACTATTCCGGACATTCGGGGCAAAGAACTACCAGCAGTAGATGTTTTTTCACATGCTATCAGATTCCTGAAGAATCATTTCTTGCAAAGCAATAATTTTACAGAAAGATTACTTGACGACGACATTTGTTGGATTTTGACAATTCCTGCAATCTGGGACACTACTGGTAAACAGTTGCTGAAAGAAGCTGCAGAAAAAGTGAGTGCATATTGCTTATTTTATTATTTTCTTTTGAAAAACACTCAATCAAAACACTGTTCGTTTTAATTTATCGAGATACCATGATGTGTACAAATGTTTACACTTGTTATTATCAAAGGCCGAGGTACATGGTGTTAAAGTAATAATTGCATACGAGTCGGAGGCTGCTTTAATGTATAGTATACACTTCCCATTGGAAAAATGTTACGACTTGGTTGAAAAGACAAAAAATCTTGAAGAAGGAAGTAAACATCTTGTGCTTGATATCAGGGGTAACTTAATTTCTAATTTTCCCTAATATTTTTTGCATGTTTATGAAAAATAATCACATTTACTATTTTGGGGCAAAAATATACATGTAGATACAAAATTGTACTGGGATGTTTATCCATAAATCCATTAAAATTATTTTTAGAGCCAAGAGATATTGTTGATAATCTCTCTTTTCAATTTCCCCCTTTTCCATTCTCCAACACCAGAGTATTTATGTGCTGCATTGTCTTTTTGAAAAGATGAATCAATTGACATCACTGTCTATGAGGCCAAGACAGCAGAAAGCCTTAAACTGTTAGAAAGAGCGAGCTGGGGAGACTGTGGAGAAACAAGTGTTGACAAAGCTTTCAAGGAATTTCTCTGTGACATTGTGGGGGGAGAGGAGGTATTGGAAGGATTTATTAAAAGCTACCCATTGGAATACAACCGTCTTTTCCACGGATTTGAATTCAGCAAAAGAAAAATATCAGAGAAAACAAGTGAGCAGAGAAATATCACCATGCTCATCCCGCCTGTTTTTGCGGAGGAATTTCCTGATATTGATTTTACAAATTATCCTTCTTACAAATACACCTTAAAATTGGGCGATGACAAACTCAAAATTCCTACTAAAATATTTTCTGGGTTTTTTGAACCATTAAGTAATGGAATCATCGAGCATGTCAACGAAGTTGTTCGGCTACCGAATGACAGAGGAATTCGAACAATACATATGGTGAGTGATTTTCCTACGTCGGTGCCCCTTAAAGATGCCATGAAGAAGGCATTTCCAAATATAAATATTCGTACACCTGAGAATCCAAGTTTTGCTGTAGCGTCAGGGGCATTATTTTTACACGATAAAGAAATTTATACAGATGAATGTATTGCTGGAGTTAAAAGCAAATGTATTGAAAGTGATGATACGATCCTGCTTCAAATCATCCCACAAGCACAGAAAAATAATCAGAGTGATGGGGAAAATGGAGAATTATCGGTCTCTCTGTTCAGATCAAAAAAAAAGAATTCGAGGCGTTTAGAGGAGAGCAGTTGCGATTACATGGGGAACCTTTCTGTACCAGTGCAAAATAGCACACCTGTCAGTAATGCAGAATTCAAGGTTACAGTTGTACACGGTGGACAGGAGAAAGAATTTACGATGGAAGTTTCTACTTCTGGATTCAAAACTGATCTGAAGTTCAATTGTGCATGAAATACAAATTAACATAAAATATCAGTGAATTGAGTGAATTTATGAATCTTTTCATAAATATTCTTACTTAATATAAACAATTTATTTCTAATACCAGCTAGGTTATTGACTGGAAAGTTGATGAAACAACAATATCAGCAGTCTCGTTTGAAGTCAACATTTCGGAAGTTATCAGTAAATACAAGTTTTCATTAAGTAAAATGCTGGCTGACTTTTTCCACACAGATTGGTAGGCTATTATCTACACAATGAGGTGACAGTGGATTTCCTCGTTTCCCCGCGAATATGACAAGTAGCGCAGGGTTGGTTTGACCAGGCGGCAGGGGATGCTTACTCCTCCATTGCCCCTCCCCCACCTCTGATGTTTTGGAGGTCCATGTTTGATCTGTTCCAAAATCGCATTGTTTAAGTGGTTTTTTGAGCTCGAATACCTATCCATTATCTCCATATATTTCATTTTGTACGATCATGCATGTATAAATAGAATGGATTATAATTAGAATATACTAGTAGTACATTTCAGCATATTTTTATTATTGATTATCATATACTGAAAGTCCACGCCTAGATCTGCACTTCAAGGTATTACTGAGTATATTCCAATCACTATATTTTACAGTTTTTTCTTCAAATAAACATTATATAGAACATATACTCCCTCTCTCTTTTTGATCTCTTTTGATTGATTGATTGATTTATTTATTTATTGATTGACCGTCTCAATGGATATCAATTATTGTTTTTCATAAAAGAAAGTGTCACATTTAAAATTATTACCTAACCTACTATATAAATTGTAATTAGGCATTTTGAACTGTTTCACGATTCATTTTATGTTTTTGCTTGATCATAAAACATCGAAATGTTGACCGGGCCCCAGAATGAAATGTTGACTGTTTAAAGCGTCGTCGTGATATTGAAGCGTTTTGATGATCACGACATCACTATTTACCTGACGACATTTTAACTTTTGGTATGGCAGCTCAGGCAAGGTTTAGCGATGTAAGTGAAAACGATTTGCTTGAAGTTTTAGAAAAAAGAGACTCTGTTAGTACAAAGAATGTAATGAAAGGAGCGCTGAAGGTATTGAAAGACTTTTGTACTGAAAAAGATGTAGATCTGGCGGTTACATGTACAACAAACAAAGATTTGAATGATTTGCTACGAAAATTTTATGCTGCAGTAAGAACCCAGAAAGGGGAGCTCTATTCCAAAAAATCCTACATGTCCATTCGCTATGGTCTGCAAAAACATTTTGAAAAAGAACTTGGAGTCGATATTGTTAATTCTCCGGATTTTAAAGCAGCATACAAAATTTTTTCCGCAATGTTAGCCAAACTTAAACGAGAGGGAAAGTCGGCGGTGATGCATAAAGATCCGTTGTTAAAAGAGGACTTAGAAAACCTCGACACATCTTTCGACCTGGATACACCTAGCGGACTTCAAAATAAAGTGTTTATAGACTTTATGATGTACTTTTGCAACAGGTGAAGGGAGAACCTGAGAGGGTTACAGAAATCAGACTTTTCTATCAATGAAAATGGTAAATATATTGAAATGCGTGACATGGCAACAAAGAATCATAAAGGAGATGAACAAGATGGTGAAAGCCAAGGTGGAAGAATTTATAAAATCAATGGAGAACTTTGTCCATACAAATCCTTTACAAAGTATTTGTCTATGTTAAATAAGGATTGTAAGGCATTCTTCCAACGCCCGAAAAGACTCCTACAGAGTCAAGATAAGTCAACTTGGTACGAAAATTCCCCTGTTGGGAAAAATACCCTGGGAAATAAGATGAAAACATTGTCCGAGGAAGCTAAACTGAGTAGAAGCTACACAAATCACTGTCTAAGAGCCACATCAATTACATTACTGGATGGTTTTGAAGCACGTCACATCATGACCATTTCAGGCCACAAATCAGAAACTAGTATTAGAAGTTATTCTAGGACAGGAAATGAACAGAGAGAATAGATGGCCCGGACAATTGCTGGAGCATTATCAGGTTAATAATTTTTTTTTAATTATTGACATATTTTGTTTTAAAAATAACGTCTAAAATATTACAAATAAAATAGTCTAAGAACTCATAGTTTAATACATGTATGTATGATTTTGTAAAGTGGAAGAAGAGTTGAAAAACCACACTTATTTTGAGTGATTATATTATAAACAGGTGATGATCAAATGGATGGAATTAATCACAATTATAAGGAGAAGAAAATGCAGTCTGTAAGACTTAATGAAACAGTTGCTGGAGCATTGTCAGGTAAATTTAATTAATAAGTAAAATTTGCATTAATCAAAACTGAATTATTATAGTACAAATGTGAAATTAAGTTGAAAATATCTGAAAATCTACTTCACTTTTAATTTTGCAAAATAAATTACAAGTCAAGTTCAAACCTAGACTTATTTTATATTAAATCCAGGTGATGACAAATATGTGGGGCCAAGCAATTCTTTGAATGGTATTTACCACCAGGAGATGACTGTACAGTTTAATGAATCGACTTCAGGTACAGTTTGTATATAATTTGTACAAAGATACTAGGATGTATAAAGATAAGATGTCCTAGCAAATTTTTTAAAGTCTATTTAGGTTAAGAAATTATGTAAAATGATCTTTTTTTAATCAGGTAAAGAGTTTGCCTATGATGATATGGACCTCCTAGAGTTGACATCGTCCCAGGAAACATTCATATTGAATGATATACAAAATCTTCTGCCCGTTGCTCAACCACAGAACTTACCTAGAGCAGCAACTCCTACAGCAGCACCTGTTTATTATTTTCCAAATTCCACTGTACACATTCATCATCACAATTAATTTCACTACAAATTTTGATCTTAGAGAAAATTTGAACAGTTAAAATAAATCAGTTTATTAAGTATTCATTTAAATTATTAAATGTTAATTGAATCTTTATATTCTGTTTCCAGCCAATTAATAGACTATTTTGTGAATAAACAGTTGTTAAAAGCACTTTATTGATTGTTTGAGTGTTTTATTCCAATTTAGTTAATTATATAGTAGGTTAGGTAATAAAACACTTATTTAATGACTACGAGGTAAACAGTCAAACTGTTGTCCCTCGCTAGTCGGGAAGACCTGGGAAACTGTTGCCCTCGGCCTTCGGCCTCTGGCAACAGTTTCCCAGGTCTTCCCCACTACCTTGGGACAACAGTTTGACTGTTTACCTCGTAGTCATTAAATAATATAGTGTATAGTATAAAGTGTATACTGTATAATTTCAGAAAGAAATTGTAATGTCTGAATTTTGTACGTGCTTATATTTTACAAATGGACTGAAATTGCTCAATTGTTTAAACTTATAGAGAGGTCTTGTCACAGCTTATCTACATGTGAAAAATAAAAGTCCTTACGCATATAAATCTCAGTCATTTTTTTACTGAGGTTAAAGGTCGCCCGCGTTTTGCAGTGGTTAAAGTGCCTGCTGTAGTTTCGTGGATTAAGAAGATGAGTGTCGAGAATAAAATTAAAGATCTCCTAATAAGTGAACAATTCTCCAGAGGGACGATAAACAACAAACCAAGGTTAAAGATTTTAGGACCAACGGACAGACAGGACTTGATGTTCCCTATCATGTGCGAAAACTGGCGAAAATTAAAATCATGCCTCTTAGATCTACACCTTTAACTCTGCATAAAAAAATCTATTTTATTGAAAATGTGAAGGGTCACCTTCGTTACATAGTTTTAAAACTAATAGTTACCTCCCTCCCTCTCTCTCTCTCTCTCTCTCTCTCTCTCTCTCTCTCTTGAAGTTGATAGTAAGCATCTGTAAACAATTTAAAAGATCGTTTTAAGCCCTTGATCTACAATTTTAACTCTGAATCAGAAATTCTGTTTTATTGAAAATGTAAGGGATCGCTTTTGGTAAAATAAATTATATTTACCTTAGCTCTCTCTATCTCTCTATCCTGCAATTGATAGTTACTTAGCAACCGTAAACAATTTTAAAGGCCATATTAAAGACTCCTAATTTCCCTTGATCATATCCAGAAGCATGAAATAGAAATTATAATACACAATTTTAAGTGTAACTTTTAGATAAATGTATTTATTGAAGGTATCACAACACGTGTATCTATCGTACACGTGTTTACATAGTGTTGTTTAAAATAGGTAATCGATCCGATTGGTTAATGTATTAATAGAATACCTGTTCTACAGGTATTCTATTCAAGCACGCACGCTTTACTGTGTGTTAAAGTTTAACGCCATTCGAAGGTTCTCTCTCTAACAGTGCAGTCAGACATATTCCAAATAAGTTTTTTCTCCATGGATAAGGAGGAAGATATTCTCATGACTGACGAGACAACGGGAGGGATTTCTAAGTTACCAGATAACGAACAGTCCACGTCCAATTCCTTCGCATTGACAGACGCAGTCAAATATCCACCTACAGCTATATCCACCTAATTTCAACAACTATCAGAAAAGCTGCAAGAAGACAGTAAATCTTCAGCTCAGGAACTTTCTAAGAAGCTCAAGGACAATATAGCTGGAAAGTTAAAATACGAAGGAAACAAGGTTCAGTATTTGTTTATATAATGAAGAATTGTTAGAGGAACTTGATAAACTCAAAGATTTATCTACCCATAATGAAAAAGTTGTTTAACGAATCAATGATAAACTTAAAACCAGGCAAAAGTATATCAGAATTGCAGACGGGTCCCCAGCAGGATGGAAGACGGTACAAGAATACCAATGTAATGATATTGCCGACGACTCGGATGACGAGAAAAAGATTAGGAGCGCGGAGAATAGGGCCCTCAGAAGCAACAGACAAATTAAAAAGCCTCGTTTCCAACCTTATGGCAAGCCCGTCCCTTCTGCTGCTGCTGGTTCCGCTGCTCAGCTTTCCGCACTCGCATTGCAACAGGCAAACACAGTACAACAAGCCGGCACCAGCAAATTTATTCAGCAGCCCTTTCGCTTCAGTAGCAGGCGGACACCACAGCCCAGCGACGTCTGCTACAAGTGTTTCCAGACTGGGCATTGGAAAACAGGATGTCCCCTCAATATTCAATTCACAAGCAGTGCAGGCTCAAATACTAAGTCAAATTGATGATAAGTATATACTATCTTTAGATATGTTTGATCAGATAACTGATAATGAGATAATGGTTGAACACTGCAAATTTTTATCAATACAAGATTCAAATGAGTCTTATACAGGGGTGAAAAATAGTTTGCGCAATCATTATGATTTCTGGGAAAAGATAGGTGCTTTTGATGATATTTTGAGAATTGTTAAAAATGGATATAATATTCCTTTTGAAGCTAATCCACCTAGAATTCATTTGAAGAATAACAAATCTGCTCTTCAGAATTTATCTTTTGTTTCAGATAGCATTGAAGATTTGATTCAATCAGGTTGTGTTATACAGGTACCATTCAGACCATTTGTAGTGAGCCCATTGAGCGTCGCAGAAAACAGAGAAAAGAAGCGTTTGATTTTAGATCTAAGTGTTTTAAATTCATACTTGAAAAAAGAAAAAGTAAAGTTTGAAGATTATAAAGTGGCTTTACAATATTTCGAGAAAAATTGCTTCTGTATTAAATTTGACTTGAAATCAGGTTACCACCATATAGATATTTGTAAGGAGTGCCAAACATTTTGGCTTTCAGTGGAATGATAATTATTATTGTTTTACAGTTCTTCTGTTCGGTTTGTCTACAGCACCATATATATTTACAAAATGCTTACGGGCTATGGTGAAATATTGGCGTACTAACAATATAAAGATTGTTTTTTATTTGGATGACGGTATAGCCATGTCAGAGTCATTCGATGAGTGTCAGAGAACTTCAAGTTTTATCAAGTCATCCTTAGACGAGGCAGGATTTTTAATCAATTTTGAAAATCGATTTTCAGCCCAGTGCAAGACTTGGAATGGTTAGGTATCAGATGGAATTCAGTAGCGTTTGAAATTTCTATTCCAGAAAGAAGAATTCAAGATATCGAGACTAACATTGCTCAATTTCTTTCAGATTTACCCAAGGTCTCGGCTAGGGCATTGGCCAGAGTTGCGGTGAAAATAATGTCAATGCATTCAGTTATGAATAACGTTTGTAGGTTAATGACAAGATATTGCTATATGGAAATTGTTCTCAAAACATCATGGGATAGTACACTTTGTTTTAAGTTTGCTATTAACACGATGAAAGAATTAAAATTTTGGTTACAAAATATCCGAAAGTATAATGAAAGAAAACTTAAGATTACACGAAGAGAAAGTACATTGGTGTATTCAGATGCTAGCGCAGTAGGTGCTGGGGCATATACAGTGGGCTTAGATGAACAGTTTTTCCACCAGGTGTGGAATGATCATGAAATGGGGTACCTATAAAGTGCGAAACGAAATAGAAACGAAACGAAACGAAACGAAACGAACTGAAACGAAACGAAATCTGCCGAAACGAAACGAAATCTACCGAAATCTACCGAAACGAAACGAAACCTACCGAAACGAAACGAAATCAAGAAGAAACGAAACGAAATCAAAACGAAACCTGCCGAAACGAAACGAAACAAAACTTTCATATGTTTATATGGTCTATTTTTACTTTATATGAAATTTATATAGTTCAAGCACCATAGACAATTGTTGTCCCCCGCTTTCGCAAAAGCGAGGGGACATTAAATCTCATTTGTCTGTCCGTCGGTCCGTCTGTCTGTCCGTCAGTCTGTCCGTCCGTCACAAAAACTTTAACCTTGCCCATAACTTTTGATTTAGTGGAGCTATAATATTCATATTTCATATGTGTATTCCTTGTGATAAAACCTTTCTTTAGGTACCACCAAATTTGACCTTTTGGCCTTGACCTTGGAGTTTGACCCACTTTTACACAAAAATTCAAAATTTTTACTTTGGCCATAACTTTTGAATGGTAGGTACTAGGACTTTCATATTTCACATATTTATTCTTTGTGACAAGGTCTTTCAATAAATACCAACAACTTTGACCTTTTGACCTTGATCTTGGAAATTTACGTTCTTATGAAAAAACTATATCCTTGACCATAATTTTTGAACGGTAAGAGCTACGGCTTTTATACTTCACATATTTTATTTTTGTAAGAAGACCTTTAATTGGATACCAAGAACATTTACCTTTTGACCTTGACCTTGGAGTTTTAACTACTTTTTAAAAACTTTAACCTTGGTCACAACTTTTGAACGGTAGAAACTAGGACTTTCATATCTTAAATATATGTATTTTTTATGACAAGACCTTTCATGGGATACCAAAAACTTTGACCTATTGACCTTGACCATAAAAATGATATCTTGCCCACAAAGATACCGAAAGCGGGGGACCACAATTCTTTGAATTTGCTTGTTTCGCTTCAAGCTCATACATAGGAGTCGGAAGGAAATTGAATGGGGGGGGGGCTTAACCAACAAAAAAGGCAAACCCCAATTTTCAATGCCTATATGATATATATCTTTGCAAAAAGTAGGGGGGGCCAACACCTAAAATTAACTAGGACCGTATGTACGTAGAAAGGATACACAAGATTATTGTTGGAGTTACATATGGGGCGCCGTTTTAAAATTTACTAGCAAAAAGTGATATCACCTATTCAAATAGGTGATATCACCTTTGTTACATGTATAATTGAATGATAAAACCAGATACCTCGGAATGGAATACTAAATACTCTAAGTCTCTGGTATATCGTATGCTTAAGACATTCGCAATAGCAATACAACAGCATAGGCGTCGGAACCGGGCTAAGCCCCCCCCCCCCCCGCCTTTTTTTCCAAAGATAGACCTAGTATAGATATTAAACGTAGGTTAAGTCCCCCCTTTCCACAGAAAGGTTGTAGTTTAGGTTAAAATAATGTGGAAAGTGGTGTTGTTTGGAAAAAAAATTGCTGATGAAGTTCAACCCCCGTCCCCCACACGAAATAGGCTTTTCGTGTTTGGACGGACATTTCCTCTTTTTTTTTGCTCGTCAGGTGTTTCTTTTTAAGGTATAATTTTTTTTTCTTATACTTAATCCTCCACTTTCAATTTGCTTTCGACGAAAATGAACAGTACAGTGACTTTACTTCGACCCGTACATAAACGAGCCTTTATATGTAACACATCAATGTTGATAGATATAGTGTATCTAAATAAATAAGGACTGAAAATAAGATTAAGGTATAAAAATTTGAAAATACTGCCCATATCGAAACTATACATGCGTAGTACGCTCGTGCATATTTGCAGCTGGCAAACATGTGAATACATCTTTAGCCTGAGAAGGGAGCATAATTTATCGGTAATTAAATTTTATATTAACAAGTGCTTGAACTATATATATTTTATTTGAAGTAAAAAAAAAAATGCCCATATGCAGTTACACATATATAATAATATACACGTACCTTGATTTGAAAAAAAAAATTGATAGTTTTGTTTCGTTTCGTTTCGGCAGGTTTCGTTTTGATTTCGTTTCGTTTCGTCTTGATTTCGTTTCGTTTCGGTAGGTTTCGTTTCGTTTCGGTAGATTTCGTTTCGTTTCGGCAGATTTCGTTTCGTTTTAGTTCGTTTCGTTTCGTTTCGTTTCTATTTCGTTTCGCACTTTACAGGTACCGCATGAAATGAATAAAAGTTCAACATGGAGAGAGATGAAGGCAATAGAATTAGCTTTGATTTCATTTGATGAAATGTTTAAAAAATGTGTCAAATGGTTTACAGATAACCAGAGCTGTGTCAATATTTTACAGTCAGGTAGTATGAAGACAGAATTGCAAGAAATAGCTTTTAACATATTTTCATTTTGCAGGAAGCATATACAATGAAGCGCATTGAAGTGGTAAAATTTCCCGTTTGGATGAAAAGTTCTGAGTCATGTTTTGAACGTCAATTATAACATAATGACACGCCCATATTTTTAGAAACGAGAAAGAAATATTCGTCGTAGTTTTAGGACACCCCATTCTTCGCGACAAGCATCATGAGTTACACTGAAATGGAGCTTTAAAAAAAATATAAAAGATAGTTAGAGACTCTGTAAAACACAAATTGCAACGAATATGTACATATTTTTGAACTTATCATGTCTATTAAAGTTACCACAACTCGTTTCGGTCGAACACGTGTTTCCTCGGTGTTTATTTAGATCCTCAATTTGACTGGCTATTATGTTTATGTAAAACCTGTTCTACAGGCATTTGAAGAAACAACTTGACCGTTTTATCCATTTCTAAAGAAATGGGCGTGTCATAAGATGATAATAAACACTCTAAAGATAGCTCAAAACGTTCCATTCGAACGGGAAATTTTACCACTTCAATGCGCTTCATTGTAGTATTTCTATCGATATCCAGTGGATCCCTAGAGACAACAGTCAGAAAGCCGATTATATAAGTAAACTTGTCGACTATGAAGATTGGGGTGTGTCTCATTATTTTTTTTAATTTATTGATTCTCTATACGGTCCACATACTATCGATAGATTCGCTAGTGCAAAGAACAATAAATTGTCTAGATTTAATTCACTTTTCTGGAACCCAGGGGCAGAAGCTGTCGATTCTTTTACGCAAAACTGGGCGTTAGAAAATAATTGGCTGGTTCCGCCTATTTTCTTAGTTATAAAAACTATAAAGTATCTCATCAGTAGCAACGAATAAGAACATAAATGTATTTATTGAAGGTATCACAACACGTGTATCTATCGTACACGTGTTTACATAGTGTTGTTTAAAATAGATAATCGATCCGATTGGTTAATGTATTTATAGAATACCTGTTCTACAGGTATTCTTTTCAAGCATGCACGCTTTACTGTGTGTTACAGTTTAACGCCATTCGAAGGCTCTCTCTCTAACAGTGCAGTCAGACATATTCCCCCGCCCACCCGCCCTCACATATATTATCTTGGTTTTTATTAATGATACTTTTTTGTTTTGTAGATTTAAGAGTTGCGGAGAAGCAAAGCAACTGTTGTATTTGTATTATTGTTTGTACACGTAATTAAACTACATTTACGAGAGCGCTTCTGTATCTATATACATGTTGTTATTTATTTTATAAATTATTTATGTTCGTTTGAGTGGAAACGAATAA